ATGTGGTTGTTTATGTTGGTTGTTGATATATGGACCATGGGGTCAATATTGGAAAAAGAGGGTAAGAACCCGAGCTTTACCTTGATCCGAAAATTTCGAGTTTTGAAGCACGTTGAGTTTCGTCATCTTCTTCCCTTGAGCTCCGAATTTGAGGTAAGGATTCCTACTCACTCTTATGGGTTTTAACATAGATTTTGAGCTTATTGTTTAAATGGTTGATTTTGGGACTTAGGGTTTCAAAATGTATTAAAGAGGGTTTTGTGATTTTGGGCTCATAATATGTATTTTGAGTTTCAAAATGATGATATAGTTGTTGGTTGGTGATATTGGAACCTTTGGGTTGATATTAAGGGTTGGGGGTAAAAGCCCTAATTTGTTGTTTGAAATTAATTGGTATAATTAATTTGGGAAAATTGTAGCTATATGGAATTGAGATGGAAATAATGAAATTGACTCATTATGTGGTTGAATAGTAGAGTTAGATTTATAAATCGCTCACTTTTGAAAACATTGATATTTTATCTGTTGGAGCTTTTATTATCTGTTTAGAAATAATTGCTTGGACTACCGGTGGAGGGTAGTTTTGATTGTTGTAGACAATGCATGATGATTAGGCAAACTAAAACTAATCAATTGGATATGTCATAGAGTATGACGGTTGATAAAATACATTAACGTTATGTATTGATTGATTGTGTGTATGACCTATGTGTATATACATTGCGCGTGTGGGAGGAGATAGGGGATGTACTCCACAGTTTAGGGGAAGATAGGGGATGGACCTCTAAACCGGATGGTGTTTGAGAGGAGATAGGGGATGGACTCCACTGATACAGCTCATATGCTTGTCAGATAATGTGTTGATATAACTCATATGCTTATCTTTGGAAGTGTTGATACAGCTCATATGCTTGATACAACTAGTATGTTTATCTATTGTAAAAAAATGGGAAATGTTTAATATGAGTCATTGTCTCATGTAAGTGGTTGGCCAGGTTCTGAGCCGTTGATGTAAATTGTGAAATTGGTAAGAAATGGAAACTGAAGTGAAATGGAAATGGGTTATGAATTGGTTTATGGAAACTGAACATTTATTAATTACTAATATCTTAGTCATTGCTCATACGGTGTTTAGTATATCTCTACTGGGCGTTGGCTCACCCTTTATGGGACATTATTTTCAGGTACAGGTAGTATGCCACCTCCAAGGACATAGCTTGGATGATGATGAGAGTTGAAGACTCTTTTTGTTTATTTTGATGTATTACATGTAAATTCAAGCCAAGGGCTTAATATGTATTGAGTTCGTACTCTTCTTTTTGTAACCAAGCGTTAACTTGGAAAGCTGTAAGTCCATAGGACATTTGCTTTTGTTGTTAACATGTAATACAGTTGTAAGAATTACTCTGATGAATAGAAATGACTGATTTCTTTTGTATCAATGCATGTCTAAATGTTGGGTATTATGTATTATTTTGAGGGTGTTACACATCATGTAGAGTCTTAATGTAGAAAAAATTATTATCACTCTCTAGAGATGTATGTACTCACCATAAACAACCTTTGGACTCCCGCATTGAACACATAACAGTGACCTGACACTTCTCATTCTTCACATACACAAACTCAAATCCTATCTTAATGGCATATTTACATAATGCAGTCCGAAAATCCTTTGCACCTCCAATAAATCTTTGACCTACATGAGTAATTCCATTCACCCATCCACAACACAACAAAGTCATTTCTTCATGTTGACAAAACATAGGAAGTAAATCCATTTCATCATCAGTAATGTTGGATCCTCTAGCGTCCCCCGATTCTCTAACTTCATGTTTTTCATTTGAAATGCTTATTTCAGTAATAGTCACATCAACTCAGTAAACACCAAGGGGATAAACAAGCGACAACATATTCTGAAAATCAGAATCATCATCAATCATGCATTGCGAATGTCCGGGTAAACAGTACGATAACAGTAGGCAACCACTGCTGTCAAACTTCTTCAATTTACAACTTAAGAAATCAGTTAAATCCTTCAACGTGCACTTGAACACAATGATACGATCACCATACTTGTATAACAACATAAGAGCTGGAATCATTTTTCAAATCTGCAATCAATTAACAGTAAAAATTTGTTGTCAATCAAAGTAAAATTTTACTGTCACTATCAAATTAAAATTTTACTGTCATTATCAAAGCAAAATTTTACTGTCACTACAAATCCAAAACACAAATAACAGAAGTATAGAATACCAGAGTAAAATTTTACTGTTATTCTAACACCATAGTAAAATTTTACTCTCATTTTATCAAGTAAAAACATAACACATACCAGAGTAAAATTTTACTTTCATTTTATCAAATAAAAACAGAGTACATACCAGAGTAAAATTTTACTCTCATTCTTTCAAACAAAAAACAGAACACGTAGAACCAGAGTAAAATTTTACTCTTATTCTCTCAAACAAAATCAGATCAAACACAACAAAAATAAATCAAAAACAAAAACAAACAAACAAAAATAATAATTAATCAACATACCTGATTGAGAAGAAAAACCTCTAAAACTTAATCAACACTCACAAATTTCAATGAAATTCTCAAAATCTAATACAGATTTGTACATATTTGAAATGTAAACTCTCGTTTAATTGAGAGTGTTGATCGTCGGCGACGAGATCGTCTATTGTTGACCAAGAGAGAGATCTTTGGCTGTGAGATCTTCAGATCTGGAGATCGTCTTGATTGATTTCGCAGATTGCGTTCCTAATTTCGCAAATTGTCGCAGATCCGTATACTATATATCAACTCAGATTTCAAATATATGATATATATATATATATAGAAGGGCAATATTGCCATAAAAATAAATATAAATAAAAATACAAAAAAAGATAAATTATAGAATGTCCTTATTGAGGCAAGCATCTCCTAGTTAGGGGCTTTTTGAAAGAAAATTGATTGAGTTATCCATTACCCTAATAAAAAGTCCGAAAATGGGGGGTTTCACCAAAAAAACCCTTGATAGTTTACCCTATATTTATTTCCAAGTTCATCCAAAAACAAAAATAAAAAATTCTAAGTTTGCCTATATGATTAGAATATCATTTAGTGTTTGGAAAGTGGCTAATATAATTAAAAAATTAAAAAGTCAAGAAGACAAAAATTCTTCCTATTCTTCATACATCCTGTACTTTCTTCTTCTTCTTTTTTATTTATAAAATGTCAAAAAAATCATTCCAAATTAGTTTAATTTTTTTCACCGTTTATTTTAATTAAAAATAATAATAAATCACTTTCTAAACAAATTATTAATATAATTTTTTTTTTCATATTTCATAAAAATAAAAATAAAAAATCAATTTAATGATTTGAGTGACTTTTTTAACCGAACTAAACAGTAATACATAATTTATGTTCATAATAAAGTTAACAACAATCCTACATCCACACAATTTTTCTCCTCAACAAATGAGGTGGCAAGTAAAATTTTGCACTCCAATTGGTATAAAACTTATATTATGTCTTACCGCCTCATTTGTAGAGATTGTTGAGGAGAAAATTGTGTGAATGAAGCATTTTTCTAAAGCTAAACAATATAAAAGGGATTTTTTTTAGGGTCCCTGATATTAAGATTTTATAGCATAAAGAACTCCAATATTTTCATAATATTTAAGGTCCCTCAACATTGATCTATAGAAAATTTGATCCAGAAAAATTCTTAAAATTTCATTGGACTTCCCACTCTCTAGAGAAATTCTCTCCAGAGAAATTCTAGAAATTTCTTCCTAGAGAATTTCTTCACAGAGAAAAAAACTCAACATTAACAAGAGAAAGAACCTCAAACTAGTTACTAATTTTTCAAAAAAAAAAAAAAAAATTCAAAAAACAAGTTCTAAAAAATAAACCAAACATCTTTGTTCACAATTTTTTCCATGCTTATTCACAATTTTAAACCAGAAAAATTTGTTTTAACCAAACTAGAAAATTTTTAACCGAACCACAAATTTCTCTGTGTTTGTTCACAATTTAAACCAGAGAAAATTGTTTTAACCAAACCAGAGAAATTTTTCCAAATTTGCATGTTTAGAATTTTACAAGTATTTTCAGGTATTATTTACTATAATAATCTCCGCATTGCATAAAGGTTCATCAGGTAACAACAAGAAGTCAAATAAATTGAAATCTAAAGCCGAAACGAAACAAACTCTCGTCGAAATTGACAAAAACAACAATAACAGTATGAAATTGAAGTTACTTTGCTCTATGATACTTACTATGTGGACCATGACTTCGAGCCCTGTTGCAGATTACAGATGGCTGACGTTACCATCTCCGACAAGAGCCACTATTCTCACCAAAGGAGAATTCAGGTCCGTCACCGAACAACTGTCTTTGCTCGCCTCTAGAACTACCGACATGAAACCGATTCTCCACCGAGAAAAATGAGCAAAAAAATTGTGTATATATATGTGTGTGTAGAGAAAGAGGGGGTTTTTTGAAAGTTGGCATGGAAAAGTGTAAAACTAAACCAAAATTGGATGGTTGAGATACATGGAAATAGGTGAGAGACTTTAGACGTCACAATTGTGGGCCTCTCTCATTACTAAAAATGAGAGTGGGACCTTAGGCTCATTTTCTCCGATATAAAACATGTATATAAATATGTTGGGTGTTTGACTAATTTGGATATATTAGTATATTTAAATTGAGGTTTAACTAAGACGTTGAACTTATGGGTGTTTGCACTTTCAGTTTCCTATAAAAGGAAGAAGGAAAAATCATCTTTTGATAAATGATAAATAAAAAATAAATAATAATAATAAAATAAATCATCAATTACGAATTACTTATGTTCTACTAGCTACGAAAACACAATGCACTGCGATCTTAAGCTAAATTTGCAGTCCAATGACTCCGAACAAATGCTTGCTAGTTCACCTTTATTTCATAGAATGGGAATTATTCGTGACTATTCTCTCTTGTACACCAAATAATTAACTCCTCCAACTCCTGTGTGACCAAGAGTAGCAAAAAAGGAAAAAAGAAAAAGAAAAGAGTAAATTTACATGCCCTCCTTTCTGAAGATATAGTCCACTGCCTCTTCAACAGTGTCAACAACCTGCACAGGCAACATATCCAACTTTAGCTTATAAATAAATTAATGAACTTAAGCTAAAAAGTACTATGCCCAATCTGATTTGTTTTTTCTTTTTCTTTTTTCGAAAAACTAAAAACTAGTTTGGTAAATAACATGAAATAAAATATAAAAAAAGAATCATTTTCATATGGTTCTCTTTTTTTATGCGGAAAAAAAATAAAAATATCTTTCTTATGTTTATTTTCGTCAAACTAGTTTCTATTTTTTGCAGCAGAAAAAAAAAACAAAAAAAACAAAAACAAATTTTGAAAACTAAACCAAATAAAGTGATTCATGTTTGGGAAGCAAATGTACTAAGCAACAATAGGGTTAGTTCACCAACCAGATCCGCTGGATGCTCAGCATGATTTTCCTTTCCCTTAAAAACCCCGGTCCTTGTCAGAATGGAAAACCAAGGATGTCCAGCCTGAAATGCAAAACATGAACTCCATTCCAAAAAACCCTCAAATTTCTTTATGTAAATGAAGCAGTCAACAAATAATTTTTCATTCATTCTAGAGATACCAACCTGCTTTGCACCTTTGATGTCAACTGAAGGATTATCTCCTATAATGTACAGGGTTCTAAAAACATGATTTCCACCAGTTACATATTTGCTGACTGATATGAAGAAGGCACGGTTTCCATCAGTACAGTTTCAGCATTCCTGAATACAGAAGGATTTGGCTTCCCGAAAGATGTATATTCGAGAGCATTAGGGTGAATGCTGTTGAAGAATGATTCAAAGTCTGACTTGGTCTTTTCAGGTTGTTAGTAGTGTCCATATTTTACTGAGTTTGTTTAGTCAATTGGGTAGTTGTTGCTGATATTATGCTTGTGGTTGTAGTGGTCTAAGTTAGTGCCTTAGTGGTACATAAAATTCTGTTTGGTTGTTTTGGTTGTAAGCCTATATATAGGCACATTTGCTTCAGCATTTAAATTAGAAGAAGAGGACCCAACAGTTCAGTTTTTATATATTTCTTCGCCTCTGTTTTTCTGGTTTTTTGCCTCTGTTTTCAGTGTTATTTTTTTTTTTATCTCCAACAAATTTGGTATCAGAGCATTGTTAAGAGAGCGAGAAGAGAGGGTAAACACGTGAGTTGAGTGAAACACCTGAGAGGAAAAACCAATGGCCAACAACGGCAATGCAATGAGTGCTGCACAACCACTCATCCCTGTCTTTAAGGGAGAAGGCTATGGATTCTGGAGTATCCGAATGATGACCCTATTCAAATCTCAAGATCTTTGGGATTTGGTAGAACAAGGCTACGCAGATCCTGATGAAGAAACAAGATTGAAGGAGAATAAGAAGAAAGATTCGAAGGCGTTGGTGATTATTCAGCAGGCTGTTCATGACAGCATCTTCTCACGAATTGCAGCGGCAACCACATCGAAGCAAGCTTGGTCAACTCTGCAGAAGGAGTTTCAAGGTGATTCAAAAGTTATCGTGGTGAAATTGCAATCATTACGGCGTGACTTTGAAACCTTGTACATGAAGAATGGAGAATCAATTGCTGATTTTTTGTCTCAGGTCATGACAATAGTCAATCAAATGCGATCGTATGGCGAGAAGATTTCTGATGAAACGGTTGTTGCAAAGGTACTGAGAAGCTTGACTCCAAAGTTTGATCACGTTGTGGCTGCCATAGAAGAATCTAAGGATTTGTCAGTTTTTTCCTTTGATGAACTGATGGGGTCCTTGCAAGCACATGAGACAAGAATTAATCGATCACTTGAAAAGAATGAAGAAAAGGCATTTCAAGTGAAGGACATAGTCACCAAAGCTGCAGAAGGTGACAGTTCGACAAGCAGAGGCCGTGGAAGAGGAGGATTCCGTGGTCGTGGTCGTGGTAACGGAAGAGGCAGAGGTCGCTTCGATGGGCAACGGCAGTCCGGTGAGCAAAGAAACTACAAGAATGGTGTTCAATGCTATCATTGTAAGAGGTATGGTCATATAAAAGCTGATTGTTGGTACAAAGACCAGCAAGTGAATTATGCAGCAGAAAATGAAGAAAGTAGTAAGCTTTTTATGACTCATTTTGATCCTAACAATACGTCAAGCGATGTGTGGTTCATAGACAGCGGCTGTTCGAATCATATGACGGGGATGAAATCCTTGTTCAAAGAGCTTGATGAGACGCAGAAGTTGAAGGTGCAGCTGGGAAATGCCAAAGAAATGCAAGTTGAAGGGAAAGGTACAGTGAGCATTAAAACTACCCATGGTAACATAAAGTTCTTGCATAATGTTCAATTTGTACCTAATTTAGGATATAATTTGCTAAGTGTTGGGCAATTAATGGCTGCTGGATATTCCATCTCATTTCATAATGATGTATGTGTTATTAGAGACAAGCACTCAGGCCATACGTTGATCAATATCAACATGACTCAAAACAAAATGTTCCCATTGGAAGTTTCAAGTATGGAGAATTTTGTCTTTGCCGCTAGTGGAAAAGATGACTCAAAGCTATGGCATTTGCGATACGGGCATCTCAACATCAAGGGTCTGAAATTGCTAAAAGAAAAAGGTATTGTTTTTGGACTACCGAAAATTGGTTCCATTGAATTATGTAAAGGATGCATCTATGGGAAACAAACTAGAAAGTCATTTCCAGTTGGAAAGGCCTGGAGAGCTTCAACGTGTCTCGAATTAATTCATGCTGATTTATGTGGGCCTATGCAAACTAAATCTTTTGGTGGAAGTCGTTATTTCTTGCTATTTACTGATGATTATAGTCGCATGAGTTGGGTTTATTTTTTGGAAAACAAATCCGAAGCCTTTGAGAAATTTAAACACTTCAAAGCTAAAGTTGAAAAGCAAAGTGGATTTTGCATCAAAGTTCTTCGCACTGATAGAGGTGGAGAATTTTTATCCAAAGATTTTGATCTTTTTTGTGAAGAAAATGGCATTCAAAGGGAGTTGACAACTCCTTACACTCCAGAACAAAATGGCGTCGCCGAGCCCGAAGAATCGAACTGTGTGGGATGGCAGAAGCAATGTTACAAGCAAAGGGACTTTCGAACGGATTTTTTGGGCTGAACTGTGGCACATCGGTTTATTTATTGAATCTTTCTGTCTCCCACAAGGCAGGTCATGAACGAACTCCGATTGAGCTTGGCGTGGCCACAAAAACATCTGTAAGTCACTTAAAGAGTTTTTTGGGTGGATTGCTTATGGCTTTGGTAAATTCTCAATTTCGTCAGTAAACTTGATGAAAAATCCTGAAAAATGTATTTTCATTGGTTACTGTACACAATCCAAAGCATATAGATATAATAGGACCTCTTAGTGGCAAGTTTTAATTAGAAGGGATGTAGAAATTTGATGAAAAATGCAAGTGGGATGGCGTGGAAAGTGATGAGAAAATGCAAACAACAGGTTCTATGTCCATTGGAATCTCTCCAAATGAAAGTCAAGTGCCAATTCCTACAAGTTCATCCGGTTCCTCTATGACATCCACCAAGTTTCACCAACGAGAGACTTTTTCGCCCACTCTTGAAGAGTTCTTTTGGATGAAACACCACCCAGAAAGTTTGATCCTTGAGAAGAACCCATTTATGAGTCTTGCAATTTGGCTCTACTTTTCAATCCTAATGACTTTGGAGAAGCAGCTACAAAAGAGAATGGCAAAGAGCATGGTGGAAGAATTGGCACAATTGAAAAGAACAAACATGGGAAGAATGATGGACTTGCCGGAAGGCAAAAATGCACAATTGGTTTTGAAGTGGGTGTTTAAGACAAAATTTGGTACAGATGGAAGAATACAAAAGCACAAAGCTCGCTTGTGGCAAGGAATACGCACAGCAACATGGATTGTTTCGAAGAAACTTTTCTCTCATAGCTTCGGTTTGAAAACTGTGAGAATTATTTTTCGCATTGGCTCATCAATTACAATGGCCTGTTATACAACTTGATGTGAAAGTTCAGCCTTTCTATAATGGAGATCTACAAGAGGAAGTTTATGTAACTCAAGCAGATAGTTTCCATGATTGAAGCAAGAGGACAAAGGTTGGCTACAAGTTGAAAAGGCTTTGTACGGATTAAAAGCAGCTCCTCGGGCATGGTTAGCAAAATTGATGATACTTCAGCAAAATGGATTCTTGAGAAGTGAGAATGAGCCCCACTCTCTAAACGTGAAAGAAGGAAGGTAAAAATGATTTCATCATTATTGTCTTTTATGTTGATGATATTCATTTATACACTCCTCTAGTTCTCTTGTGGCTGAGTATAAAATCACAATATGATGCCATGAGTTTGAAATGTCTGATATGGGTTTGCTGGCATTATTTCTTGGCCTTGAGGTCCAACAAGCAGAAGATGGGATTCTTATTTTCCCAAAGAAAATATGCCAAGGATCTTCTTAATAAATTTGGCATGCTTATTGTAACCAGCAACTACAAACAACCCTAGAATATCAATGAAAAAATTGCAGTGTGAAAGAATGGGGCAGAAATGGCTGTGCTAGTCAAGTTCAGAAGCTTGGTTGGTGGTTTAATTTATCTAACCCACACTCGACCCGAATATTGCATTTCCGTGGTATGATTTCTAGGTTTATGCACATCCTTCAAAGCTTCATTTTGGAGTAGCGAAGCGGGTCTTGCGTTACTCGCTGGAACTATGGATTATGGATTTGGTACTCAAAGTTTTTAATTTCAAATTATGATGGGTTAACGGACACTAGCGATTGGGCAAGTTCTTTGGATGATAGGCCGGAGTATTTCAGCAAATGTTTTACTCTTGGATCAGGAGTATCACATGGAGCTCAAGAAGCAAGCACAAGTAGCATGTCGTCCTCAAGAAGCTAAGTACGTTGCAGCCACTTCAGCAGCTTTGGTCAAGCCATAATGGTTAACGAAGAATGTGGCTAAACTTCAAACAAAGGCAAGAGGGAGCAAAAGAAGATCTTTTGTGAACAACAAGGCACCTACTTTAATGACAAAATCCAGCATTCATAGTCAGAACAAACATATAGATATGCGTCTCCATTTTCATTCGTGATTTGTTCGAAGAGGAGGTAACTTTGAAGTACTGTACCACTCATGAGCAGCTGGCTGATATACTGACGAAGTCTTTATCAAAAGAAAAAGTTTTTCTAGCTCAAGAGCTTCCTTGGCGTTTGCAACTTTGAATCAAGGGGGAGTGTTAAAAGAAGTGATTCAAAGTCTGACTTGGTCTTTTTCAGTTGTTAGTAGTGTCCATATTTTACTGATTTTGTTTAGTCCAATTGGGTAGTTGTTGCTGATATTTATGCCTTGTGGCTGTAGTGGGTCTAAGTTAGTGCCTTAGTGGTACAAAAAATCTGTTTGGGTTGATTTGTTGTAGCCTATATATAGGCACATTTGCTTTAGCATTTAAATTAGAAAGAAGAGGACCCAACAGTTCAGTTTTTATATATTTCTTCGCCTCTTGTTTTTTTACTGGTTTTTTGCCCTCTGTTTTTCCAGTGTTAATTTTTTTTTTATCTCCAACAAATGCTGCCAGGAAATGCAGTGTGTTAGAATTGTGCATGGACATGCCCAGGACTAAATTCAAAATTAAAGACACTTTATAAATCAAAATAAAGAAAACGAGGAACCCCTTTAAAAATTCAAGTTAACAGATATCAGTCGCTTCTCCTATTTAGATAAGTATTCCTATTTTTTTTTTTTTTTTTAAACCTTTTCTTCTAGGGCCATTGCCCTTGTGCAAAATTAGAATGCTCAGAACTGCCAAGCACCAAAAATACAAGTC